TAAAATAGTTGAATTATACAAGAGCGGTTATAAACAAATTCAAATAAGTAAAAATTTAAACCTTTTAAAAGGCACCGTTTCGAAAATAATTCGTAAATTTAATAAAACAGGGAACGTTTCAACAGCTTTTAAGTCAGGAAGACCAAGAAAGTTGTGCAACAGGACAATGAAAGTAATGAAGAGAATATCAATGGGAGATCCAAGAAAAACATCCACAGACATTTCTCGAGAAATGGGTGAAAGGGGAATATCGGTGTCTGCACGCACGGTGAGAAGAAGGTTGGATGACATGGGACTTTTTGGAAGAGTTGCGGTGAAGAAACCACTAATATCAAAGAAATATAGGATGGCCCGCTTTAAATTTGGTCAAGATCATCTCACCTGGTCTTATCAGAAATGGAATACTGTACTGTTTAGCGACGAAAGCAAGTTTCAACTGTTTGGTAGTGACGGGAGACGTTATGTCCGAAGACCAAAAGGTACACGGTACAGCCATAAGTACCAGATGCCCACAGTAAAACATGGGGTGGGAGTATAATGGTATGGGGGTGTTTTTCTCGCTCAGGTGTTGGTCCTCTTGTTAAAATTGATGGGATAATGGACCGTTTTTTGTACAAAGACATATTGGAGAATAATATGCTGCCTCCATGCTGATGAAGAAATGCCACTCAGATGGTTGTTCCAGCAAGACAATGATCCCAAGCACAAATCTCGGTTTGTTCAAAATTGGTTAAATGAACATAATGTTCCACTAATGGATTGGCCCTCACAGTCTCCGGATCTTAACCCCATAGAAAATTTATGGGACCATTTGGATAGCAAAATTCGAAGCCATTCTATTTCAAATAAAAATGAATTATGGGAAGTGCTAAAAACTGAATGGGCGGCCATTTCCAGTAAAGATTGTACAAGATTGATCGATTCGATGCCACGAAGATGTAGAGAAGTAATTAATTCAAAGGGATATTCCACTAAATATTAGTAATTTTTATTATCTTGAATTTTAATAAACATTCTTCTTAAGTTTCCATACTTTTGACCAAGAAAATATTCATAATTTTTTATATATTTTTTGATAGCTGTAATTTTTTATTTAAATGTATTAGGTTTTGTAGGAAATTATTTGTAGGTCACGATTATATAAGTCGTTTTATTTCATATTTTAATTTCTCAGCATAAATGACAAATTAAAAAAGTTTCCATACTTTTGGCCACCACTGTATATAAAATGATAATGTTTATCTGTGTTGTAAGTAACGAGTTGCTCTAAAAATTTGCTAAATAAAGATAGCTAATTGGCTCTTCTAAAACCTGTCGTCGCCGGATTTTTTGTTTTTCATTTAATTAAAAAAAAAAAGTATTTTTTCCTGACGTCGTGGCGGATGCGCCAGGCTTCAATTTGATTTAAAAAATTAGGATTGATTGATGTATTCAATTGTTTTCGGTCACTTCCTGTTTCACCGGAAATGGCTACAACTTTTGATTTTTAAATAGCACCCTCAGTATTTTTTTACTTTATTCAATAGAAAATGACACTCTGAATAGAATGACAGATCATATGTCAACATTTAACATTTGCGCATATGGTTTATTTGAAATATTAAAATGCGGTTCATAACGACAATTTCATTCGAAATATTAAGTCTGTGGTACTAAATTATTCGTAAAAAATGCTTTTTCCAAATATGCTCCGTTCCACATGAAAAAATAGATAGAGATATTATTAAAAATACGATTTTGGCATCTTTTAGCCGGCCAGGACAAGACAATAAAAACATTAGATAATCAAATATATTTTTCCACGGCTCCTTGATTAAAAATTAGTGTTCTTAACACAGCCATGACACTCAAATTTAAAACACAACTTTTTTTAAGCGGGAATATCAAAAGTTGACGTATTATATGTCATTCTACTCAGAGTGTCATTTTCTACCGGATAAAATAAAAAAGGCGCCACCGAGGGTGCCATTTAAAAATCAAAAGTTGTCGTCATTTCCGGTGAAACAGGAAGTGACCGAAAACAATGGGCTTTTTCACTATATTTTGGAATTCGCATAATGGAATAAAGCAAGTAATTCTAGAATTTTCTGCTATCTCACTTTCGAAAAACTTGAAGTCGTTCTTAAGAAAATAAATAAAAACCAAAAAGCCCAGAATAAAAATCCGCACTTTATTCTTAATACGTCACACCTGGCATGTTGAAAAGCGGCAACACCGCCGAGCCACCATGCTAACCCATTTAAAATTTAACCATTTCGGCGTCAACTTTAGGAAGGTTATCATAGTGATGGGCAAAACTGTTATTTTTAGATAACAGTTGAAACTGTTATAGTTATTTATAAAAAACAGCTTAAAATAACAGCTTAAAAATAACAGGTTTTTACATATATTCAGATTTTTTAAAAATCTGAATATATGTAAAACAATATAATAAAATATACGTGTTTTAAGAGTTTTTCCGAAAAATTCACCGGTTTTTAAATAAAAAATATTCTAATATTTGAGGGTAGTTTCACCCCCTTAGAATTCGAGTTTCGAAAAATCCCTTCTTATCGAACCTCTACACCTTAAAGTTAATCCGTTTTCCAAAAATCAGCTTTTTACGTCAAGGGCTTTAAGCAGGATCGTGATTAATCAATGACCAGATTTTTCAAAACACCCTGTATACATTTTTAAAAAATCTTAAAATATTATTCTGAAAATTTTTCAGAATAAATAAATACCTAAATATTGAAACTTAATAAGTAAGTACTGAAAGATACAGCGCCATAATATCTCGACCTCCGCCCGTTATGCTCGTAACAGGTTGAAAAACAATGTACTATCTAAAATAACTGATGCGTTATTCTCCAAACTGTTTCGAACCTCTATCGACAATCGACCGATGCAGCAGCGTTCCTTTCCCACTCCGATTATCTCGACCACCGCCCTGTTATGCTCGTAACAGGTTGAAAAACAACGTATCTAAAATGACTGCTTCTCCAACCCGTTGCGAGCCTCCATCGACAATCGACCGATGCAGCAGCTTTCCTTTCCCACTCCTGTTATCTCGACCGCCAGGCGTTATGCCCGCAACTGTTTCAAAAACCTGCTTCTTTTATATCCTATTATTTTTAAGCGGTATCGACCGAAGCAGCTACGTTCGCCGTAGCGCATTCCCCACTCCGTTGTCCGTTGTCTCGCCGCCTGTATCGATGGTTGACGAAATAACATGTTTTCCATCCATACTAGTTGTTTTTTGGAATTGCTTCGAGCAGCATAGAATTTCGTGACGGTGCAGAGCGCCGACTTCGTTTTACGAGCGGCCGATCTCTACGTGTCGTTATTTTATATCTGTTATATTTTAGAAGTAGTAACGGTTGCGTTATGTTATTTATAAATAATTGTTATAAAATAACAGATAGTTAAATAACAACCCATCACTAGGTTATCAGATGACGCCTTTTCGAATCCAGGTTCTGGTACGACCATGATGGAACAAATTATCAAAAAATAACAATATAAAACTTAAAATTTAGGAGTAAACCTTTGAATAAGAAGACTAAGGAAGGAGCATATCAAAAATCTTAGGTCCGCCGCGATGGGCCTCAAATATGGCCGACTGAAATTCCGGTTTATCAGTGCCGTTCTAATTTTATTTAAAAAATGTAAAACTATGATGTAGGGTAGGCGTGGGGTAGACTCAATAATTTTATATTTATTTTACGTTGTGAATAAATGTTGGTAGTTATTAAGATTGTTATAAAAATATAAAATTCTAATAAAAATAGATAAGTTATAATAATTTATAACCATAAACATCCGATACGCTACTGAAGCAGGTAAGTCAAATTGACGTATCTAAATTCTTTGACATCTAATCTTTGACAAGTAGTAAATAAAAGCAAAAATGCAAGAAAATATATAATTACTTAATTTAAGTGAATTTCATAAATGATCGGTTTACTACACGTATGTATATTATATAGTAACTTACTAGCGAAAAGTTGTTCCATTATTTCACTCAATTTTTGCCGAGATCTACCGCACGCTACACAACCAACTATTTTAGAGTCTTTTTCGATAAATCGCGATAGTGTCACCGTTAATTTAAGTTCTGCCACAATTTCCATCTAGATTTACTCCGTAAAGACAAATCCATAAAATTTCAAATCAAATTCAAATGTGCCAAATGAATCGTCAAACAGAACTGTCAAGGATCCCCACCCTAGAGTGCTTTTTCCGCCCACCATGCATGAATACATGGATAGCATTATGCTCCTTCCTAAGTCTTCTTATTCAAAGGAGTAAACAAAAAATTTAACCTCAAATTTATTATTCAACATGCACGTCAAATCAAATCGCAATGTTGCCAGTTGTTGGCTGGCGCACGAGCACGGTTCTGCAATGTGATTGGGCGTATTTTTCATACGTCATCAATTGGCACTTTAAAATTATTCCAAATTAAAGCAATTTTGAGGGTCTATAAAAAACTTATTCAATGTCGTGGAACTTTTTTTTGATAAACATACTGAAAATAGTCTTCTATTTCAGATTGTGTCCATGAATTGGGTATATTATTTTTTCTGAAAGAGTCCATTGAATACGTCAATAAATCCTAATTTATGTCATATACTAGCATACCAAATCTCGTTTTTTTATCTGAAAAAATAAAAGTTAGGTTAGGTTAAAAACCTAACCTAACTTTTATTTTTTGCCACTTTTGAGACGCACCTGGTATAACATTCCATTAAAATACACAACTTTAGTCTGAAACCTGTAAGAGAAGATTCCTTAAATGAATTTTATAACAATAACAGATCCTTCAAAAGCTAAGTATAACAAAAATAGAATATAAAACTGAAAAAAAAATGAAAATCTAAGCTTATTCCAAGAATTGTATTATAAAAAACGAGAATATTTTTACCACACGGATCGACGCAGGTTGGGATAATTTTAAACTCATCCCAGCCTTGATAGAGAATCGGAGAAAAAAAGTGAGCCGTAAATCGCTTGCTTACCATCTGATAACACCTCGTACGCCTCTGAAATTTCTTTGAATTTTTTCGTCGCGTCTTCCATGTTGTCGGGGTTCTTGTCCGGATGCCATTTCAGAGCCAATTTTCGGTAACTACAAAGGTAAAGGAAAAACAAATGTTAATAAACCCAACGATATATTTAAAACTAGTCTAATATGATATTTGGTTCTTGGAAACGGTTTGGGATGATTAATTTACTTCAGTTACAAATAAATACTTTAAAAATGTCTAAAGCCTTTTATTAAAATATTCATCCACCCGAAGGTACAGCGTAATAGACTCTTAATATGTACTTTAGTTGTAGAATAATCACTACAAAATTTATGTGTAAGATTAACTAGATACTTCCTCTTTATAAATTAATATTACAACTTTATAAAACTGTATACATTTTATAGTCAGATTATAGGTTGAGTACACTTAAGAAAAAATGGTGTAAAATGCCTCAACATATTGCTATATGCTATTTTTATTTATAAAGTATAGCTTCCATGGATATTCAACATATGAGACAATGTAACAACTTTTGTATATAACAATTAATATTAAGCAAGTCCATTGTCTATTATGAGTCCAAGGTACTTTGCGTTTTCGATCTATAGTCGTAGTTAAAACAAGGTAGATATTTTTTTGCCTTTAACTTTGACTGCAAATAAGTACATTTTCAAATCGAAAAGCCAACTAAAACTAGAAAACTTTAGTGAAAAAAAGACAGTGTACAGGGTGGTCGAAATTGGTCTGTTTTAACAGAGAAAACGTATTTCCTGACTAGATAGAGCAAAACAGACATAGATGTCAAGAGCTCGATTTCGGAGACACGTTTAATGGCGTAAACCGCCTATTGATATTTTCACTGCCAACTAATATACGGGGTCTTTTTGAATTTTTACCATTTTGAAAATTGCCCATAACTTTTTTATTTTGCGGAATAATAAAATTCTGTAAAAACGTTCTTAAGGCACTTTTTTAAGCAAAATCCAGTGGCGTAGTCAGTTTTTTTCTATGTTTGCTCTTTTTTATCACAATTAATAAAAAATATAATTTTTTAAATGGAAATCATAGTTGGCTATGAACTTAAAAAAATGCTGGCGTTTAACCCTTTTCAACGATATACAGTTAGGGGTATCTATTTCTAAGAATGAGAGAATTATTAGTTTTTTTATCTTTATATCGAAACGGGCCTTGATTTTATGTTGACCTATGTGCCTAATTATTTTTATTATTTATCTGCATAATTAATAAGACTTTTGGAAATGTAAATTAACATTCTATATTAGTATTAGTAATTACAATTGAAATCGATACAATAAACAAAGAACAAGACTAAAAAAACGTATGTATTGTGTGGCGAATATAATTTTCTGAAAAAAATCACCAAAGATGTTCAAACTGAGCACCTCCTTGTTGAATACAAAATACATCTTTAGCGCACAGAGTTACAACGATTGATTAGGCGAACTAGTCCAAAAGCTTGCCTAGTAATCTTCTGTAATTCTTCTCTCGTCCCAATGGTTCTTCCCTTAATATAAGGTCTTTTAATTTCCCCCATAAAAAAGTTGGAAGGAGTTAAATTACACGACCTAGCAGGCTTAGATATTGGGGACAAGATATGGGGCCCTTTGTTCCAATCCAATTCTCTCTAAATTCTCCATTTAATAGTGCAGCTGTAACTCTGGCGTTTTAATTGTAAATGGTAATACTAATATAGAATATTGATTTACGTTTTCAAAAGTCTTTAATTATGCAGATAAATAATAATATAGAATATTAAATTGTGATAAAAAAATAATTAGGCAACTATTATAGATCAACACAAAATCAAAGCCCGCTTCGATACAAAGATAAAAAAATGTAATAGTTCTCTCATTTTTAGAAATAAATACACATAACTTTATATCGTTGAAAAGGGTTAGAGTTTTTTTCACAATATTTTGAAGTAATCACTTGTCATCTTGTCAATCAAATTTTAAATATATCCTGCTATGCGTTCCAGTTGTACCAACTTATTTCTTTGTAAATTAAAATAAACTACTTTGAGATTAAAATGACAGACACATCTATCACTGTCAAGGATCTTCTCGTTGGACAGACTATATATGTGAAGGAGCTAATTTATTTACATTGCAATCGATTTCAGCACCGACACCGGCACCGATTTTGCCGGCGTGTATGAAAGCGCGCTTAAACTCCATTTTTTAAGTTCATAGCCAACTATGATTTCCATTTAAAAAATTATATTTATTATTATTTCTGACAAAAAAAAACAAGTATGGAAAAAAACTGTCTACGCCACTGGATTGTGCTTAAAAAAGTGCCTTAAGAACGTTTTTACAGAATTTTAATATTCCGCGAAATACAAAAGTTATGGGCAATTTTCAAAATGGTAAAAAATTAAAAAAGACCCGGTATCTCAGTTGGCAGTGAAGATATCAACAGGCGGTTTACGCCATTAGACGTGTCTCAGAAATCGAGCCAATGACATCTATGTCGGTTTTGCTCTATCTAGTCAGGAAATAGGTTTTCTCTGTTAAAACAGACCAATTTCGACCACCCTGTACATAAAGAATTAAAACTTAAGTCCGTCTTCAAAATAATTAATTTATTAGACATATTTTTTAATCTAATTTCTTTATATAAATTCGGACAAATGCAGATCTTAAAAAGTAGTACAGTCCCTTTGTAGTTGAGGCCATTTTTGTATATTGTTGGCTATGCGGGCCCAAATTATATTATTATTAATTTCTCGTGGTCCATCTGTAATTTTTGTAATTCCTCTGTAATTTTTGTGGTCCATCTGTTGACCCTTCTTCTCGCCAAGTGTCCTGCCCATTGCCATTTGAGGGATCTGACTCTGTGTATGGACTCTTGGTTGTTCCCAGCATAAATATTTCGTTTCATTGAGCGCTGTGCGACCTGCAGTTTCCTTATGATGCCCGTTTTAAGTCTTCAGGTTTCGCATGCATAGGTCATGACTGGTAGTACACATTGTCGAATGTTTTCTTCTTTAGATAAGGTGGCATACCAGATTTCAATATGATTGAATTTCTTCTATATTACTCCATGCTAACTGAATTCTTCTGTTGATTTCTGATAGTAGAGATCCCGAGCTGTGTTTTAGTTGTCCCAAATATTAATCTTCTACTATTTCCAGTGTTATGTTATTTATTAGAATGTCTTTTCTTTCCACTAGTTTGTTGTACATTACTTTAGTTTTTGCTAAATCCAAATGCTGGTCTGAATGAGACCCCACTTTATTGCTGGCTGTATTTAGTTCATCAATTTGTACTTGTAGTTCTTCAGGACTACTGGCAATTAGGACTATGTCATCGGCGAATCTTAGATGGTTAAGATATTTTCCATCTATTTTTAATCCTTTGTTGGTCCAGTCCAGTTGACGGAAGATTTCTTCTAATGTTGCTTTAAACAGCTTAAACAGAATTCTTTTTAAGAAATGAACCCGCCACAAGGTAGGCATACAGGTAAAGATCTAAATTTATTTAAGCAATTTAACACGGTTTTGAGAATTTTCGCGAGGCCAAATTTGTACAGATTATCAAATTATTTACGTTTTCATTGTATTTTTTAACTGGATATTAAAGGATATTATATAACACACAAAAAAAAAGTTGTGACAAATTTATTATCGAAAATTTTCCCCGATTTATTAATATCTAACCTTGACTTTTTCGCGTTTTCAAAATATTACGTTCCTACATTTTCAATGGCATAGATTATATAAAAAACAGAAATTCTATTTGTTTAATAAGCAGTCAATTTTAGGTGGTCTTGAAAAACGCGTGACTAAAACACATTTTCGGAATTTTTACTAAATACATAGTATCATTTCAGTCATTTTGTAACGTAAGCTATGTAGTAACTAGTGAATGGAAGGGGATTATGTTACTTACAATGTAATATTCGTATAAAACGATGAGTAACATACCGATCAGCAGTTCTAAAACGATCTTACAGGAAATGACCTTCCGATGAGTAAGCTCATTTTTTCCGTTCGGAAAAGAAAATTTAATGAAGTGTGCGAACGGTACCGCTTGTTTGTTTGGTAAAAATATCATAAATTGCATATTCCATAACGCTTCTTCCGTGTTTCACTAGGAAATGCGCGTAAATAATGACGGGATAGATTAGATATAATGCAATCTCAAGATTAATACGAGTTAATTAAAAAAAAAATTAGAAATAATTTTAAATAACCTATAATTAGTCCCTGCGGACCAATAAAATAATTTCTAAACGTTGTTCACACTATCAAGGTAGCCGTTACTTTTTTTTTACGTACAGGGTGTTTCAAACCACATGTGCCATCACTAGTGAAGAAATTCCTAATGTAAAAATAAGATTTATTTTTCATATCAACACAGGTCCAATTATTTTTTTTATTATAATTATTCTTCTATTAAGTGCTTTTTGTGTAAATGTTTCTATAAGTGTGACAACTCTGTAAAAAAGTGTCGATAGATTCACCAGGGACGTGCATTTTTTTAAAAAACTGTGCGCCACTGACTTTTTTCTCTTCTCATCAAGGAGGGCGAAATCGACAAAATATGAAAATATAACTTTTAACCGACATTAAAGGAATCACCCCACGGAAGAAGGCGCATGTTTTTTGAGACATCCTGTATAGAGTGTAAATGAATGGGTAATGGGTATATAAAAACAGGCAGGTGAAATTAAAGTATTCTTCATTTTCTTCTTATTTGGTACACCTCTACCAAGTTATTTGATTATACAGGGTGTCCCAGAAATAAGTGCAAGTATTTTAAGGAGTGGTAGATCTCGATAAAATTACAGAGTTATTTTACTTTAAAAATTTCAAAAAAAAATTGATTTTTTACTCAAATTTTGAGAACCACTGAATCTTTTCTGAATTTTCTTTCTTGTAAATTTAATCTAATACCCATGTTGCCATATTATCAAGAAATTATGTTTTTAACAAAAAACTAAAAAAAAATCCAAAAATTTTTTCAAAAAATTCCGAATTATCAAATTTTTTTTTTCGGTAAAAAAACCTCATAGGCGTGTTTCAGGGGTTGAACTATACAACCAGTTAAAATACTTGCACTTTTTTCTGGGA